CCATCATCTCTAACTATTGGAGCAATTGGCTAAGGCTGCTGGGCTTAGGAGTCCAACATAAAGAGGGTCCCATGTTCCTCATCCTGGATGAAGAGGCGTCTGTCTGCTTTAGGAGCAATCATGTACAAGGCATTTTGGACTTTTTTTTTTTTTAACAAAGTTATTTTTTTCCCCAGATTTTGGAACTGGAGTCTGGATATCTGATAACTTTCACATTTCCCCTCAGATCGATCCACTTGGTTAATTTAAGCAGATAGAAAACTGTTTTTAGTTCATCAAGATGCTTTTGCCCTATAGATAAAGAAACACCCCTATTAGTAGTTTCCCGTTTTAAGGGAATAAAGAAAACCAAGGCTAAACATTTCTAGCACTAGGCAGAGGAAGGAAGCCAGGCTGCACTAAGATAGATGGCTCTGTGAGCCTGTAGACCTGTGACCACCATTACTGGGCCTGTTGCCTAGGGTTCCTATCATGCCTCAGTTTTCCCATTTCTAACTCGATTGTAAATTTTTCTTCTTCAGATCCTCTTTTTTTCTAAAATGATGAGAATTCTACTTCTTACTTCTTTCCTGAATTATAGATGCCTTTACTTCTTGACATAGGTTTGTAAAGAAAACTGGCTATACTTCTTCCCTCCAAGAGTTAATATTTTAACAGCTTGTCCAGCGATTCCTGCCTTGAGAAATACAAAGTAATAACACAGCACCCCTGGATTCAGGTTTCAGAATGGGGGAGAGAGATGAGGATTAATTCCTATACTTGATGTTAAAGCTTGTCCGAGTGGTTTGCTTTGGGGGGAGCATTGCTAGGGCCGACTGGTCTTGCTAAATGGTTGCTAAGGCCCTGGCATTGAGGTCCAATGGAGTGGCCCACAGTCACGGTCACGGAGGGAATTACACAGCCACAAAGAAATTTGTTATTCTCTGTAATCTGCTCTTTGGAGAGTGACTGGGGGAGATGGACTGGTCCCAGCATGCTGTCGGTACTGTGATCACAGAAGCGTGTTGGCTCTAGTGAACGGGTAGGGCTCACCTTCTGATCTGGGGGATACCAGTGCTGCTTGGTACTAATCTGCTTTCTCAGCAATTTTGCTTCTCTGACACAACGGTGTTTACTTGTTTGAACATCTCCTGGGACTCTATTTCACCTATTGTGTGGTCTTTATCCCCACCCCCTCACCCCCATGGAGCTTTAGCCCAGATTACAGATGGAATTAGGCCTCTGGCTCGGGTGCCCCAGAAAGACTGATATGGGATCAAGGAGCAGAAAGTAACAAAATAACTGGGGGGGGGGAGTTGTTGCTTTAGGGAGTGGAGGCTGTATTGTCCCATGAAACGAAGGCCAGTGCACTAGTCTGAAAAGGCGTTCAGTGCTTTGTGTCCAATTCTGATTAGACTGTTAGGGAGGAGGAGGAGGAGAAGGGCTGGGAACATGGGAGTCTTTAGTGGCTGAATGAGCTTCATTGGATGCTGTTGTCTGAAGGTTAGTGAGAATTGTGGCAGCTTGGCTTTCTCTTGTAAAGGAGATTTGGGGAGGGGGAGGACAGATGGGACATGTTGGTTCTCAATTAGGAACATGCATCAATTAATCAGAGAATCCTGTGCCAGACAGACCTTTTAAGGAGCCTACTCAGCTGTCTTTATCCCAAATCCCCTGTTCCTTCCATTCTTTTGTTTTGCATATTCTTTGAGTCTACCTCAACTTTTTATAGTGTTGCATTCTTGATTTGCCCCGGGACATGTAAAACCTAACATGTATCCTATGTCTGACCTTTCCAGATTAAAATAATAATAATTAATAATAATTATTATTATATAACAACCATAATATCTGGCAATATAGACGGATCGTCATTTGGAACACAACATGCTAGATATTACGGTTGTCGAGGGCCAAAGTGTACAATTTATTGATATTGCTGTACCAGGAAACTCAAGTCGAAGAAAAAGAACTGGAAAAAAAAATCACAAAATATCGTGACCTGGCCATCGAAACTACACGGTTATGGATGAAACATGTAACAGTGATACCCATTGTCATTGGGGCACTTGGTACCATGTCCAGGAATTTTACAAAACATATTAAGAAATTGCAGCTTCCTGCAATAACACCAGCGGAACTGCAAAAAACTGCGCTACTCGGAACATCGTATATTTTAAGAAGATACTTGGTTGATACCTAGGATGCTGGCAGCAACCCATATCAACCATTAGCACCAGTCACTGGTATTTATGATACATTTTTAAATGTTCCATTTGACTGGCTTTTATGTTTAATGAATAAAAGAAATAATAATAATAATCCTAAATTCTAGGGAAGAACTTGAGTGTATGAAAGAGAACACCAGGTAAAGAACTGGCAGCTATGACTTCACATTGTTGTGATAGTAATAATAAAATTAAGATTAAACATTTGAAATAAATCTTCAGGTTCTGCAACTTATGCTTTTTAAAAATGGTACAGGTAATCCTTGATTTACAACCATTTGTTTAGTGACCACTTGAAGTTACCACACTGCTGAATGGATGACTAGTACACAAAATTCTGGCCATTGATGTGCCCTTGTGATCAGATGAACAAAATTTGGGCACTTGACAACCAATTCACACTTACATCATTTGGTTATGTGACATTTATGATGTTCTCTGCCGGCTTCCCACAATCAAAGTCAATGGGGAAGCCAGCGGAGAAGATTGCAAGTTGGCTGGATAAGATGCTTCCCTGCCCCACTGGCCTTTCTTTGCTCGCACATACACACCTTTTCTCGCTGCACAAATCAACTGGCACACTTGTTCCCTAGACCTCTCTATACTAACAGGTATCTTACATCCTCCTCCTTAGGCTTTTGTTAGCCCACGTGCATCTTCTACCTTCCTTCCTGGGCCTGCCTAAACTCACACACCTGTGCCTCCTTCCCCAGCCTCCCTGTGCTTGTGCCACAAAACAGCACCTCCTCCCCCAACTCACATGTGGACTGTGCCACGCCACTCCAGGCCTCCCCACCTTCTTGAGGCACTCCTGCAACCCTTACCTGAGACTCCCACTGCTTCCCACTTAATGACCCACACACAACAGCCAGAGCTGACTGGATTGCTGTCACTAAATAATGTGGTTGTGTGATTGCACTTTACATCCCCTCCTTAGCAATGCCAATCCTGGTCCCAATTGCTATTATAACTCAAGGACTGCCTATAACTCTGCGGAGAAAAAAAAGCTCTAAAAAATCCTGCAAACTTGAGCGATGTTGATGGAATCGGTTATTTGTGCCAAAATAGCTTTTCAGTGAATTATTAGAAATCCTCAAATGATATTTTCCATTATATACAGCGGGAGGACAATGGAAGGAAATTAATACTATTGATGACTTTGTTCCTTCCAATGTTAGCTTCATTATTTCTGCAACCATTCTAAAATCAATACTCACACAGGATTATAAGAAAGAGAAACTTGCTTAGGTCCTTCAAAATTCAAGTACTATAAGGGTCATCATAGTTTCTTCAGGAATGTTCAATTTGGAGAATTTGGAGGGAAAAACAAAAACAAATACTGTCATTTCTGTTATCAATATTACATGTAAGAAATAGGCTGAAGAAAAAGATTTTCTGAGACTATAGAATATTTAGAGTTAACAAACTGTATATCTGACCTTGAGCAGTGTATATATTTGAAAATGCATGGGAAGGAAAAAAATTTGAAGAAAATAGACCTTTAAAATAAGATTTTTCAGTTTTAAACTCTTAATATACATATCATCAGTGACTTCCTATCATATAGTAAATTTGATTTCTCCTTTTGTTGGTATTGATAGATAAAAGGGGATAGTTGCTTGCATTTATGCCTTGTTCTAAAGACTATTAACACAGGAATAAAATCTAACTGTTTCCAGTCTGTGTTAGATTTTATGTAGGAAATTAATGTACTTTTAATCTATTGGGGATTTTAAAAATGAGCCATTATTTGTTGAAAATTATTATCCTGAGTAAATATTATTTTCTGGTTCTGCTGCACAGCATGCCATTCCCTAGTCCAGAGGCAGCATAATGGCATGGGTAAATGTGGCAGAAGAGAACTTGGAACATAATATAAATATCCAAAATAATTATACTTCTCACACATGGACTACCTGTTACAGTATAATAAATAATACTTTTATTTTCTATTTACTATATTTTCTAAATTTAACAGATCAACTTAACTATATAAGTAGTACTTGTGCTTGCTTTTCATAAAGGATGCTTAAAGCCTGAATAGTGCTAGAAACAGAACTGAGTAATGGCTTTTATAATTTTAAACTGAAAATGGATAAATTATTTGGATAAATTTATTCTCGGACACAAACTGTTTCAACTCCTTCCCTCAAAACAATGCTATAGAGCACTGCACACCAGAACAACTAGACACAAGGACAGTTTTTTCCTGAAAGCCATCACTCTGCTAAACAAATAATTCCCTCAATACTGTTCAACTATTTACAAAGTCTGCACTACTATTACGATTAATTTTCTCATCACTCCTTTATCACCCATCCCTTCCCACTTGTGACTGTATGACTGTAACTTTGTCGCTTGTATCCTTACAATTTATATTGACTGTTTCCTAGTATGATTTTATTGCTTATTGTATCCTATGACTATTATTAAGTGTTGTACCTGATGATTCTTGACTCTTGACAAATGTATCTTTTCTTTTATGTATACTAAGAGTATTTGCACCAAGACAAATTCCTTGTGTGTCCAATATCTATCTATCTATCATCTATCTATCTATCTATCTATCTATCTATCTATCTATCTATCTATCTATCTATCTATCTATCTATCATGCTAGTTTAACCTAATATATTTTTGTACAATTAATGATTGATATTTTTCCCTAATCCACACTTACTCTACTTCTTTATTGCTACTGAAAATATATGTGAAGATAAAAACCTTGGGTAATAGCCATGATACATAGTTAGTAAGCACTGGAATTTAATTTTTGTTTGTTTCTCTTCTCAGTGGGCAGCTGATCACCTGTCTTGGAACAGATTTCCACCGAGGAGCTGGAGTCTTGGATGTTTTCTATGAAACACCTTCAACTTTGCTCTCTTGTGGATATGATACCTACATAAGATATTGGGATTTAAGAACAAGCACAAAGTTAGTTTGGAACCTTGCTTTTCTTTTAAGAAATGGAAGTATTTATTTGATAGCTGTTTCAAGATGACTTGTTAAAAGTCCACATTAGTGACAAGAATGTCTTTGTTGGTTGGTTTGTTTGTTACCTTCAAATCAAAATAGACTCCTGGTACCTGTGTGGATCAAGCCCCTACAGTTTTCTTGACATTTTTGAAAGTATTTTCCCATTGCCCCCTTCCTAAGGATAAGAGGGAATGCATGACCTAGTTACCCAATTGCTTTGTGATTAAGGTGGGTCTGTTTCCCTGTTTCTAGCCTTAAACACTGCAAACTGGCCCTTGTCACAAGAACTGACAGTGTTTAGTGAAAAATATTCTAACATTATCTCACAGTATTTGTTACCATCAATTTCCCAGGGAATGTGTGAAGAAATGGGAAGAACCACATGACAGTGCCCTATACTGCATTAGAAGCAATGGAAATCATATGATTGCAAGTGGCTCCTCTTATTATGGAGTGGTGCGTCTTTGGGACAAACGACAAACAAGATGCTTGCAGGTGAGGCATCATCACCATATTCCCAAACGTTGATTATGAAGAGAACTGCCTTACAAAGACTAAGTGGGATAGTGTGTTCTTTTGCGTATTCCTAATGCTTTCCAAATAAACATGATGGATAGAATGGTAGATTTGGGCAGAGAAGATGTGAGTTAAGCATTCACTGGCATAAATAATGAAACCCATGATTGTGGATAATAACAAGTAGACTTAACTTGCAAGTGCAACTGGGACTGGAATTTCCATTGTTAAATAATACAGTCGTAAACTGCAATTCTATTGATAAGCAATAGCAATCCCTGCAGTGCCAGTTGCCATCATTAACTGAATCCCATGGCCATTAAGTGAGTTAACTTCCTACCGGCTTCCCACAAGCAAGGCAGTGATTAAGTTGGTAAGAAGTTGGAAGTCACAGGTGGCTTGCAAACAGGTTGTCAGGCAGGCAGGTGAGTCAGGGCAAGGATGCACAAGGGTATGAGGGGTGCAGCAAGGCTGGAGGAGGGCATGTGAAGGTGTGAAGAAAGTGCAGTGAGTGCACAAAGGTTGAGGGGGATTTGGGAGTCTTGGGGAGGGTGTGTGAGGGGACAAGGGAGGCTTGGTAAGGCTGCATGAGGTGGGGGGGGGGGGGCTGCAAAGGGTCTACAGGGGGGCTTGAGGCAGCAAGCTTAGAGAAGTGCAGCACAAGCCCAAAAGGACTGAGGGAGTGTGCAGGGGTAGGAGAAACTTACTCCAGCATCTTGCAACCTTCCATGCCAGCTGCCCTATGACTTTCTAGAGAAGCTAGCAGAGAAAGTTGCAAATTGTGTTTCTATGATTGCAGCTGCTGTAGCCAATCATGTGAGCCAGGTGTCAGGTGCCCAAATCATAATCACATGACTGGGGGTGGGTGGGTGCTAGGATGGCCAGAACTCTGAGAATCGTCATAGCCACAATTGATCAGCACCATCATAACTTTGAACAGTTGCTGAACAAATAGTAATATTGAAGACTTCCTATAAACAGTGTATTCATATTCAGTGTAGCCCCAGAAATATTAGTGAAGATGTTTATAGGTATGATTGCTATTGCTTTGAGATAATTCTGTTCAGGAAATGGATTACTAATATATGCTGTCTGTTGCCTTAGCCCAGTTCTATTGCTTCTTTGCAGTAGAAAAGAATTACAAAATTTGCAATAGATGCAGCTTACAAAATTGAATTGTGAAAATGCTACAATTGTCATTTTGTCACCGATCCTATTAAAATTTTAAATAGCTTACCTAGAAATATTTTTCTTACTGCTTTTGCAGAGTTTCTCCTTGTCATCACCTATCAGCAGTCCTGTGTATTGTCTACGTTTCAGCACCACTCATCTCTATGCGACACTGGCATCAGCACTGTATGTCCTTGATTTCACTACCTCCTGACACCGATATGCTTGGACTTTGAGACATGACAGTCAGCTCAGGGAGCACAAAGAACATGTAACATCTTTGAGACAATAAAACAGCAGTTGGTAAAGAAGATCCCATTTCCGCCTTCTGGTGTCAGTAAAATCTAATGTATCTTTCTAACCAATATTTTGTACACATTTGATTTGGATTACCTTTCTTATTTCTAGAAAGGCAAAGTCACTAAGTTTTAGGAAATGCATATTCTTTGGTACCAGCATAGTTTGGGCTTCTGAATGTTGCATGTTCATATATTTCAATATGATAATTTAATTGAAGAGAAAGCAACTATAACTGGACAGTGAAGTAGAAGAAAATATTTTACTTCTGCTTTACTGACATCCAGATTTTTTCATGAATAAATATTGGGCTATAAGATTGAAAAGTTGGTTGGCTCTCTGTAAAGTATAAATATTATTGTTTGGCTCCATATAGAAACTGCTTTATTGGATTGATGCTGACAGGCCGGGCATTGAATAAATTATTAAAGTAGAATACAAAAAGTATCTTTGATTTCAAAAAGTAACTGAATAGTCACAGTGCATTTGACATGATGCATTTTATTCAGTACCATGATTGACTTTACTTGTCTATGACATACACAGCAAGCTGAGAATAAATATTCCTGAACAATTATCACAATTGTGAAGATAAAGAAGGATTTTTTTAACTTAATATTTGAAGAAACACCTAACCATGCATAATTCTGAGAGAAGATGCAAAAACATGGGGTGGTATCCTGGCCTCTGTCATCACTTTCACCAAACATCTGTATTTATAAATGATATACCATTAATACTAATACTTCTTTTTCTAAAGACAGTGTTCTGTAAACCCTACAGTGTTTCTGAACAATGCACTCCGCTTCTTGTACATATGAGTTTAAATAGGATATTCTATTTAAGGTAGGAATATCATCAAATAAGAAATTATTAGGGGACTCAAAAGTTTGCAGACACACTAAAAATAAGAAACCAGTATGAAAATATGTGAATGGAATTAGAATTGGCTGGCCAAAACAACCAACAGGAATGCTCCCACACCTTACTTTTTATTCTAATTCTAATTATTAAATTGTTAAACGGTGAAGTCTGTGTAAGACAGAACTGTGTTCTTTTTGTAGAATTGAATTAAAAAGCAATGTCTGAAACATAAACATTTCTTTATTTCAGTGTCTGATATATAAAACAGTGTAATTGAGACAAAGGGATTTTTTTTTTAAATGGGAGATGAACAAACTGGATTATAAACTCTGAATATTCTGCATGAGGGATTGGGAAACCAGGACAATATCATGAATATCTATTTTAAAACAAAATATTTGGAAAGGCTTATCACTGTCTAGGATTCAAATTTTGATATGCTATAACAGATAAACCTAGTAGGGCATTAGTATATGTAATAAAAACATAATACAAGTCACATACTGTGGTATAAAAAGTGGCTATGTAATTGTGTAAACAAGCTTTAAAAGCAGATATTAGGAGGTGGCACTCAAATTGACTTAGGGATTTCCAGGTATGGCAGTGTTGACAGTGACAGAAATGGAACAGAACTTTTGAGTTATTCTTGATCTCCCAATCTTAAAACAACAGGGAAGATTGTGGTACTGTACTGGAGGGAAACTAGTTTGATGGGACTAGATTTGGAATATCAAGGGAAGGCCTTTCTCCATTAAGTGGCCAGATTGTAGGGCTTCATTGAGCTGGCAGAAGGTGGGGATTTTTAGGTCTCAGATTATTTACCCAAAGCAACTATTGTGGTGCCTAAGAGTGGCTAGCTGGCAGAAAACAGAATGTGATGCATTCAGGTTGCTGGCAGTCGAAGAAGGGGCCTTGGCACCACACCTAAGAATAATGCAGTGGGTAATATGGTGCAGATACCAAGCTGACCATTTCATGGTATTATGGGCTTGTCCACATATTGCATCTAGTTTTTGCTTCAGACCACTTTAGATCTGGATATGGAGAGTATAACTATTATTCTCGTCATAGTCAGATCACTTCCTGGTCTAGCATAAATTGATGGCTACCCACAACTTCCAAGGTGATGCCCATTTAGAGGATCCATTCCAGGCACTTTTGGATCTGGGTAGTTTCTGGTGGGTACTTGATTTTCCCAAAGATGTGATGTGTGAGTCTATCGAGTGCCTATTTTGCTGCTCTCAACCTAGGCAACAAGCCCTCATGGGCCCTCAGTGAAACCATTTTTAAGCAGGTGCTGTTGGGCCTATCCTTAGTGGCTGATGGGTTTTGGACTGTCAGTGGGAGTTGAGGCAGCAGTGCCCAGAGAGTAGAGGAGTATGAAGAATGAAATTGAACACAATTATGTGCCCAGATTTGAGCCTGCACCAGTTATAAGAGAATAAAGCATTCCTACTTCTCTTGTTGCCTTGGCATGTTGTCATCCAGAAGCTCTTTGCAGAATGGTTAATTCCCTTTGGAGAAGGAGCCAGTTGCAAGAGTGATTGTGGTGACCAGTTAGCCATTTTGCCATAGATTTGTTCAGATTCTCCTGGCTGTGCTTTGGTATTACCTAGTGATTTGATTGGAATGTCTTGCCAGGTTAATTGGGATTCTTTACATACCCTCTAAGATGCCCTCTATTATCTATGATCTGGACCTCTGTCCCTCACAGCTGTTTCAGCTACTTATATCAATGTAGACTCTAATTGATTCTGGGCTGCTCAAGCATAAAACAATACAACAAATATGTAATGCAAAGAGAGACATAGCAATAAACAAGGTAGCGTCTCTTGTCAACAATATCTATCATACACGGGGAGGGGATCCAATCGCCTTAGTCCAAAGCCTGGGAGCATAGCCAAGTCATTTAAGGCCTGCCAGAATGCCATCAGGATGGAAGCCCTCTGGATCTCAAGAGAACCTCATCCTGGAATGCAGGTGCCATGACAGAAGTCATGATCCTGAGGTTCCAATATGGTTAACGAAGGCCCCCATTGGTTGATCAAAGGAACATGTAGTAGATTAACTTCGCTGGATTGACACCCTCCAGTAACAAGCATATTGAATTGCACCTAGAAACAAACTGATAACCAGTGCTTGGAAGGCTTGAGTGCTACTGCCACATGGGCATACTGAGGATAGTTAGGGGTAGGTGAGTCTTATTTCTTGGATTTGGAAGATTACCAATGTCTCCTTACCATAACAGGTGTTGCTGGGAGCCATAAAGTGATATATTCCCTCCTTAAGAGGCCCTTTTTGGATTTTTGCATTTTCCAGTTGGTTTTGTTTTAGGTTTTTAGATACTATTCAATGGCAGATTTTAATGTTTGCAATCTGCCAAGAGTTCTGTAGATTGTGGCAGGGTATAAATGAAATGAATGAATGGTTCCTGTTCAGCACAATTATTTAATAAAAATACAGACAATGCACTTCACATTCTTGACTACTGTGTCTTGCAGTCTCCTTCCCCATTATTAGCAGCTTTGATCTTCTTCAGTTCTTTTTGCAGTTCCTCTTCTGCAGCTAATATTTCTGTTGGCTTTTGATACTATAGGAAAGAAAATAGCTTGAATCTCTGTAGCTCAAACATAAATGCTATTAACAAAGTGCCTCATTTGCAAAATTGAAAAAAGAAGCAAAATCATTGGAATGTCATTCTCTCAGATTCATCTTTTTCAGCTATTTAAGATATAATATATAGAACATACAGCAATATCTCACATTCATTGTAATGCATATTTTAGTTCAAATTTTGAAATCTGTCTTATTGTATTTTTTGATCCTGTTTATCCTGCTGCAGAATGAAATATCCCATGGCAAAATGTGCACTTGAACTTTTCCAATTGTTCATTGGATACCTCCCTGTACTCTGAAGTATTTCTGTTCAGAACATCATTAAAAAAGACAATTATTTTAGGTTAGAAAGAAAAATGTGCAGTTATTTTTAAGACTTTGAAGCAGAAATAGTAGTGTTATTTTTTTTTCATCATAAGCCTTACTGTTATAATTTTGAATTCTTAATTTTCATCCAAAGGCCATTTCCCCCCATGTGTATTACCTCAAGTTTTATGCAGTTGGTCCTTAATTTACGACCACAATGGAACACAAAATTTCCATTGCAAAACAAGTCAGTTGTTAAGTGAGCTGTGTCCCATCTTATGACCTTTTCTGCCACAGTTGTTAAGCGAATCACTGCAGATGTTAAATGAATCAGGCTTTCTCCACTGACTTTGCTTATTGGAAGCCAGCTGGGAAAGTTACAAATGATGATCACATGATCTCAGGACAGTGCCTGCTGTCATAAATACATGCTTTTTTGTCAAGCCCCTAAATGTTGATCACGTGACGATGGGGATGCTGCAACAGTTGTAAGTGTGAAACCCAATCTTAAGTCACTTCTTTCAGTGCCATTGTAACTTTGAGACGTAATTAAATGAATGGCTGTAAGTTGAATACTATCTCTAAAGGCAGTATAGCAAAAGAGGACTGAAAACAGTAATATGCTAATAGTGTCAGATTAGCTTTATGAGAACTTACTGTGATGATCAATGTATTATTGGCATGAGTAAAATTCAAAGCTGTGCTATCCAAAGGCAGTTGGAATCTGTCCAAATCAGGAATAGTGAATTTCTTGTAGTATCTGAAAGTAAATGTGGACATAAAAATAAAGACTATTCATTTCTTCACTAGTGGAAGATAAAAAATACCTAAAATATATTTTTACATAAAAGAAATTTCAGGACCATTCCAAGAGTTAGAAGATGAGCATCTTCCATTCAGGTTATAAGATTCCACTAAGAATTCTTTTTAATATACTCTGTAGTAAAATACATAAATACATAAACTAATAGAGTTATATTTTAAAAATCTGACTGAACATATCTCACTATTAATTTGACTAGTAGGTTTTGTTTTTAAATACAGCCATATACTAAAAGGTACAGCTACCTTAATAATTTGAATGTCAGTTTAGTTTTGATCACCTTGGTTATGCATGGTGCCTACAGTCTCATATTTATCAGGCACTTACTGCAGAATGATCCATCTTCTGCTATTTTCAGTTTAATCTAAGATGGAAGCCCAATATGCTTTCCTCCCATGAAGCATGACTGCCATTTAGTTCTTTTCGGAGGCTGGAACTTTTCCTTTATGAATTATGCTCCACCCACAACTGCTGTATGTTTGGTGCCCCAAAATGAACAGGATGTCAAACCTATGAGCAATTCTTTTCAAATAAGTTAGTTTTGTTCAGAGGTTGACTGGTTGAACTAGTGCTACACAAACCACAAACCCTTTATTTTCCAAGCCCTGCTGAAAATGCACACAAAGGCCAACCAGCCAGGGCTAACTTTGCCTGCTAAAGAAGAATGTTACCCCAGGGCTTGGAGCCTTTTGCTTATATTTGGGAAAGGTGGCAGACATGGATAATAATGGAGATGTCAAAGGTTAAACAGCAAAGATTAGATGAACACAAAAGACAAGTTAAGGAAGTGTTAAGTTCTTACTGATTGAGACAATAAAAAAGCAACTCCCCAAAGTAGCCCAGTGTTTCAAAGAGCCTATGAAGCCCACACTGAGAACACCAACTTTATCCCACCCACCACCTACCAATAGGGCTGAGGCAGTGGGAAAAATACCTGATCTGAGCTCCAAGTAAAATCTGTGAAAGATCAAAGGATCTGCTGTTTTGCCTCTTCCAGCGTAATGTTAACTGCTACCTTGTCTGCAATAATTGAATCTGCTGTGGCCATGGATGCTTTGCCCGTTTGGAAGTTTGCTTTAATGGATTTGTTTTACAGCAATAGGACTGAATCAAATCCCACTTCAGCAGCCTTTTGCTGTGGCTAGAAGGGGCATTGTTGAATGAGTAGCAGTAGGTGACAATATTTTCTTTTTAAGTTCCCCTTCTCTTCCATATTTACAATTGCAGAGTAGCCATTGACTAATTCCAGGTTTCTTCTCTTATATCTCTGAGAAAAGCCACATCTGCTAAAATTCTAATTGTCATAAGCATTATGCCGTTGTCTTCTCTTTTCCTAAAGCCAGAGTAAACAGCTTTCTCAGAATTGTAGGCCTCATCTTGCTTTTCCTACCAGCTGAAGATGGCATCAGAAGAAGAGATGGGGCCAAATTTTCAGCCTATACAGTACTTTATTTCTATCCTGAATTCCTGACCCTCACCCTAAAATCCTACTGCTTAAATATGACAGTAAATAGCTGAATTTAAGTGATACAATTTTGGATGGGTTTGGGAGGAATTTTGTTACCTAGAGTTTCCCTTCTTCCATTTTCATCTCTATCCTTAAGGGAAAAAAATAAAAATGTTGCTGAAATGGTAATTTTGGTAACCATTTTAGTAATATATCTCAGGAGGCTGAAGCTGAGGGAAGTACATGCCTATTTCTGCCCTAAAGGACTAACTAGAATATCTCACATGATTAAGTCACAAGCACTAATGGGAATTGAACATTATGTAATAATCGGGATTGGGAACCTGTGGGCTGGTCCCAGATAGAATGGGAAGAGGTTGCTTCAGATCCATGAGCAGCCCCGCAAAGGGAAAAAATTAATATTGCTAGACATGTCTGGAAAAAGGAGAACCTGGCTAGCAGTTTAGCAACAGATGGAAATCTCCAAGTTCCCATGTAGACTTCATAAAATCCCAGTTTTGGTAAAACAGTAGAATAATTTATGGAAGAATGAATAAAATGTAGATATACAAGTGCTGCTTCTGTTGCTTTAGCAAAAAGGACAAATATCTGAATTGAAACTATTTCATCTTCTGCCTTCCTCACAATAAACAGCATGCTACAATGAATAATGGTATATAATAGGAAAATCACAAAAGTCACATAATCCAAGTTTTATAAAGAACCTAGCAGTTTTGTGGTGGAGCAATTTTTGTTATAACACAACATAAATGAAAAAAATGTGTATTCCTCTGATAGAAGCCAATTCCACTTCTGAAGCTAATAATTGAAATGTTTTCTTAAAGACCGCAACTTATTGAAAGGCATGAAATACTCTTTGAGACATTAACTTTGTTCCACATGTGGGTGCTAGGTTTTTTGTTACAACACTTGCATTACAAATAGAACTTGGAGGCTTGGTTTTAGTTACTAATGAATTCTTGCTCTGCTCTTGATTGGATATTTAGATGATAATTTTCTTTCTGCCTTCCAAAATTTCAGTGAACTGCATTGACAGTAGCATTTTTAGCTACACCTCATGCAGATATCCATTGTTAATGGCTTAGCCTGTGAATTCACCAATTATTCAGCTTTCCCAAATTGCCTTATCAGTGAAAGGGGAAGCATATAAATTTAATAAACATATTTCCATTTAACCAATAAATCATAATTAAACCATGGCTTAGATAAACATGAGATTGAACTAAGTCTTTTGTTCCACCACCAACCAGCCAGAATAAATCATGTAAAAGCTATTTATTGCAGCATTAATCTGACTTTTCCTGGTTTCTTTGATAGAATAATTGAAGTTTACTTTAGAATTTTTACTCAATCATGTCTGGAATTTTCAACAAGCAAAGCAAATGTAAAATGTTTATGCTAATTAAGGTATCAATCCCCCCCCCCCCCAAAAAAAAACAACAACAACTATATAAATGTTTGTATTTTATATGCTAGGAACAATGGCATCATTGCTTCTGAATTGTCCAAAACATGTTGGACTGTCTAAAATATACTGGGCTACAGTAAACAGTAAATTATTTCTTATTGGATCTGTTACACAGTTAACACTATCTTCTTTTTAGTATTAGCTGACAGTCTCAAGGGGGATATGAAAGAAACAGTTTCTCTTATTCTCTGCCTATCAGCAACTATAATTTAGAGCTACTTATTACTATATCCTGAGTTTTTATTTAAATATTATGTCTAACAGACTGACTTGTCATTATTTAGTTCTTTTTGAAAGGCATCTTATTAGTAAACCCAGTCTATGTCATAACGGTAAAATTTATGCTTGTGTTTTTATGCAACAGAACTCTATCTTAATCTACAACAAATCAAATTCATAGGTGATCCTGATTTAAAATGAGACTCTGCAGAAGGCCAACCATATTTAAGAACTGCTCAAATCAACAAATATGAAATAATATTCCTATCTATCAAGAGCTGAACTTCAGGAACCTGATTCTGTACCTGTCAGTTCCAGTTAGATAACAAAAATGCTAAGTAGAATGACCCATAAGGTTAATGTAGTCTGGCCTTTATTGTAAAATGTTTGACAAGTCCTGACCATGTCCCTAGTTTTTTATTGTCATTGATTAATTATACTCTTTGCCCTCAGAAGAACTTTAGCCTAACATAAATGGTCAAATAGAAAATAAAAGTTCTTGCCAACAGCACCACCTCTGGGTAAATATTAGGGATTGCATAAAAATGGAAAGAGTAGGAAAAACAAATGCTCTTTGTTCCAGGACTATAGCTTGATTCATACATAGATTAAGACGTATCGATGTTTGTTTTTGATTTAGCATTGCATTCAAACCTATCCATTAAGGATTTGCTCAAAATACAATACAATGGCTTGTTCAAAAATCATACTCTTCACAGTGTTATATGTGAATACAACAAAAAGCTCAGATTATGGGCTGTTGGTTTGTCAATTCAAAGCGCAGTGACGATGTCTCCTCAAATGGTGACGAAACATTTGCAACCAAATTGCCAAGCTTGGAGCTCAAATCAACAGCCCAGCTACCAACCTGAGCTACTAATATTCAAGTACATTTCAGCTCAGATTATTTTGCTGTTAGGAAAAGTTCAGAATATTACAATAGAGAACTAACATCATTTCCACGTCCTACAAGCTATCTGCAAATACACCCAAAGTTATCCCACCAAGAGTGAATCTGTTTACTGACTTCTTATTTGTTGTGTGGACCACACAGCAGCGCTGATCCTTTTCTACTGAAACACTGTAGACATCCTTAGGATATGGCAGGTTTCGGATCCGCCACTGAAAACTGCTTTTGGTGTCTTTGCGCATAAAGACAGGCTAAAGAAAAGAGAAATGGAATTCAGCCCAGTGTTGTTCAGCTCAACTAGACAGCAGATGTAATAATTGTACAACAACAACATGACTAAGAATTGCCAAACTTATGCGTGCAAGTGCTGGATTCTTATCTAAATTGAAGCAACACTGGTACTAGCATCTTTAAGTTCAATACCTTTCCCCATGAGCTTTTCTCAATTTATATAATAAATTTATATAATAAATCCCTCTTTTGTGGGATACACTAAATGTATCGCAGATACACAAATTATAATAATGAGAAATGTGAAGGAAAGTGCTACTAGATTTAGGAAAAATATAGACTGAAGTAAAAGATGGTTAAGGAACAAAAGTAGTCTCCCACAAGAGGGAAAAATCCATTTTATAAAACACTACAATCAAGCAAACATCCATTCAATAAATAATTACATTCAAGACACAGAACAGAAACACTGGGCTGATGTACATACATATTTCACAAAACTCTGAGAATTAGGTGATGGCACACACTGCCAGCAGAGTGATGGCACAAGAGAAAAAACTGCCCTGTATCTAGGCATGCAATACTGTCTTGAGGGAAGGAGCTGAAACATTTTGCGTCCAGGATGTAAGGGATCTACAGATATTTTCTCAGCCTTCCTGACCCGCGCAATATATAGGTCTTCTATGGAAGGCAGGCTGGTTGCAATTATTATTTCTGCAATCTTGACTATCCTTTGGACTCTGCACCTGTCCTGTTTGGTTGCTGTACCATACCAGACAATTATAGACTCAATAATTCCTCTGTAAAACTGCATCAGCAGCTCCCGGGGCAGTCTGAACTTTTGAGTTTATGCAGGAAGAACATTTGAAAGAGATCCTAAATTTAAGGCAGAATCATAATACAGAACATAAACCTTTTATAAAAATATTATCTAGCTCTTGGCATTTTTGGCTAAATTATAGCCTGTGTCAGGGAATAAATTGTCAGTAGAATTAAAGCATGCCTCCTCATTACAATTTAGGAAAGAGCTGGAAACATATTTACTACCCAAGGACTTACAATTTAACTGTTTTAGCTGATGTGTTTTATATGTGTTATGCTTTATACATGTTTTTATAGGTGCTTTATTGTATTTTGGAAGCCACCCAAATTGCCCAGAGCCATAAAAAGATTGGAGAACATTTACATTCCCTAAAGCAATCAATATACCACACCAGTGTTGCTCAAACTCAGCAATTTTAAGATATGTGGACTTCAACTACCAGAATTCCCCAGCCACACATTTTTAAAATGCTGAGGATGAGAAACACAACACAACAGTATATCTGGAAGCACACGTGATTTAATGAATGGCTACCAATCTGGTTCTAAAAGCAGAGCTACCCAACCTTTTCTGCTTTGCGGCCCAGCAGGGCGGGAGAGGGGATGGTTCTGCGTGAGCAGCGGGCAACCGCACAACTCAATTTGTGTGAACGGCAGGCACGTGCACCCACCACTTGTACAAATGGAGCACGCACATGCTTGCCTGCTGCTTTTACCTAGCTCAAATACACCCAGTGACCTTCCATGGCTAAGAATGGACTTGAACATGACTCTCATAAAGGAGTCATATTAAACTCTTCATAATTAGAAAATGTCTCCATGCAATGTTAATTCAGCTCTTTTTGACCATAGGTCAAATTGTAATTCCTGTTTAAATTACATTGAAATTTAAAGTATGGTTGCTATCGCTTAATTCAACTTTTGTCATAAACATGTTGTGAGGAAAAATTGGAAGAAGCAAATGCTTAGGTTGAGTTAAACTTGTAGGAATGGCATGATGACACATTTAACAAATAAACCTTTATATATAGGAAAAACACAGTGCCAAAGTAGAAAGGAAGACCATAATGGACATTTCTAATATTCTGAATTATTCATGAAGCTTGGTATAGAAAGAAAGCCTCACTATTTTCTAAATGAAAAAAAAAATCAAGGTAGAAAAATTGAATGAAGTATATTTTCTCTCATGTCAAATGCTGAGGTATAAATATTGTGTTTACATTGGTATTGCTCTCCTTTATGAACTCACGGTCCAGTGCTCCTGCTGCAAGCAATGTGGGTTCTCCCACTTCAACCTCCCAATTACCATGTGCACCCAAGGCATTCTTCTCTCTCCATTTTCTTACTATACAGAAATGACAAGGATAAAGAAAAACAATGAGATATTTATTTTTTCAGGAAAATATTCCCAATTGGGATATTAAGAAACTAGCGGGTAATTGCTATACAAGTTAAGTCAAATACTTTGAATTTCAATTTATTTTTAATTATGCCTCTTTTTGCAGAAACAGAATACAGGTGGATTCTTGGCTTCTGATCATTCATTTAGTGACCATTCAAACTTGCAAAACCATTGAACAAGGGGGAGTTATATGTCCTCAGAATTTTAGCTGTTTGCAGCATCCTCATAGTCACATGATCACGATATGAGTGCTCAATGCCCAGCTCATGATTCCAATATTGCACTGGGCTGCAGTCACATGATCATACTTTCCAACGTTCCCTGCTGGTTTTTCACAAGCAAAATCAATGTGGAAGTTTGCACGAAGTCGGAAGTGGTGATCACATGAGATCCTTGCTTAACTTCTACACGGTCCTCACATATCAACAGCAACGTGAACTGCTAGGACTCCCATAGATAAGCAATGCTATCCCATGACGTCACACTTTATCACCATGTCACTTAGCAGCAGTAGTTCTGGTCCAATTGCTGTTGTAACCCAAGGACTACTTGTAGACCTTTTTACATATTAATAACATGAACATGTATTAAAAGAGCATTTAAAACTGCTGGCTTTGAGCTTCACATTATGCAACTTACTAGCTTTGTCCTGATGGTTGTGCAGCATTTCAGATCCAAAAGCAAAAGTTTGCTTCAGAACACATAGCATCAGTCCAAACCACCGCACAGAGTTGTTATAATGGAGAAAGTAGGAGGAGGAAGGAGTATTATGTAATATGTTTGCCAACTTGAGTTATTTATTTAAAAAATAACAAAAGGATAAAAATAAATAAATAAATTTGCATTTAAATCACATGAATCTTTTCCCTGGGATTCTGCCATAGTTAAATAGGGCAATTGCACTATTCTAGGAAAAGGCATAGTTGTTTTCAGGAGTCGTAGACAGGTGTTATATAAGCATACTAATGCATTCCAAAACAGTTTTTTTCCTCAGATCTGAAACATTGCATAAGCTTAGTCACATAGGCCTAGAGAGCCAAGTCATCTAGGAAGTGCGGCTAATTCATCCAGGTTTCAGTCCTATAGATACCAAAACATATTGATACTTTCCAGTTCAATTCATGCTCAAGGCACTGATTTTGGAAATGCTACCCCACAGTGTGAAAAACAGTTTTAAAAACAACAACCTGATTAGTCTAATTTGTCCAAAACAAGGGGCAGTTGGAATTTCCTCTCCCCCTCCTCCTGGATAACAACAAGCTGTTATTACAGTTATATTACAGGTAATCATCACTTAACTACCATAAGTGGGCTGGCAACTCCATTGCTAAGCAACATGGTCATTAAGCAAAACATCTGATGACTGCTCAGCTTAACAATGGCAGTCATGGCAATCTGTTATTATAGTTATAGTTATCGTTCAGTGGATCACATGTGGTCATTAGAAGAGGACCCATCCATATCCAAGCCATTCTGACTGTCTCCACTTTAATTCCCACCTCCCCATTCCCCTATTTTCTATCCATCTCTGCCCTGTAAGTCATCTACCTATCTGCTGCTACCAGCTGCCCTTGCCACTTCTTTTACGTTAGTGTAGCCATGTCCTCCTTTCACACTAATAAGGAAGATGCCCAAATAAGACCCTGGCCATCACACAAAAGAAAGCCCTGGCTGGTGTGAGAAAGAAAGGACCTGGCCAGCATGCGAAAGAACAGTGCAAAAGAAGGACTTAGTTGGTAGTGGTGCATGGTGCCACAGCAGAACACACACCCGCCTGTTCTGTAGCTCTCATCTGCTGCCTTGTGGAGTGTTTTCATGGCACTTCCTCTGCATGTGATGAGCCCAGCAGATGGAGGCAAGCAAAGATGATGCAAAGGTCAGCTGGTGGTGGGGGTAAGGCAGCAGGAGACTGGTCATAAATTCAGGCAGGCTGAATTTTATTCATTTGACCACAAGGGCATTGTGATGGCTAGAACTTCAAAGACTAGTCATAAGCCCCTTTGTTCAAAGCTACTGTATTTCAGAATAGTTGCTGAACAAATGGTTGTTAAGCAAGACTACTTATATACACCTGGGACAGAAAAGTACAAGAATTTAAAGCTTGATTTTACTATAAATAGAGCTTTGATCTACAGCAGGTGGTCAAATTCTTTCTCTCTATCTCAAAAAAACAAAAAACAACAACCAACCCCATCACAGCATTGTGCCCTGAAATTCCTGTTTACATTTGCTTGTACAGGTTTTGTCAAGAGAAGCATGATAAAGTCATGCAATCTCAGGAGCAGTACAAATACAGTAAGTGGATTAATTTTTAGTTTCATCATATACTGTAGTATAACTGAGACATCAAAGTTTAGGGTTAATGCTGTGGATAAGGAAAAAGATAAGAATGTAGCCTAGCCCTGTAGTCTCAGAGGCAAAGCCAACATTGATTTCATCGCCCTTTCTGACTATGGATCTTTTTCATGGTAAAGTTTGCTTTACTGACCCGCAGAATGTGCAATACTATTAAAGGCAAAACCTGTATTTCGAATCTACCTGGACCATTTGCATTTCCAATTTTTAACTAGAAGTAAGAAAAGTTGTCTGGCTTACAGAGTAGCTGGTGTGTTTTCAGGTCATATTCTTCTGCCATCTCCTTTCCATCCTCAAACAAGTAATGGATTTTTCGTTTACCTAAAGAGAGCACAAGATAGGAGAAATAGGAGGAAATCCCCATTTGGCCAGAGTGACTTTTAAAGACTCACAGCTCTCCATCCATACTACTCTACTAAACCAAGTTTTGATGGAAATAAGTACCAATGTTAACGGGTTGATTTCCACATGCTCCTCACAGTGGTGAATCAGTTAGAAATAAAACAGTCTCGGGAATGTTTTCCATTACTTCTTTTAAAAAAAACTTTAAAATGATTTTTAAGTTGGATCTTCAGTGTATCCCTACTAGATCGCCCCGGGGTCGTCGCATCCAAAAGCGAAGGCAGCCTCCTCGCCACTTGGGAGACCGGAACTGCACGGCTTCTCCCACTTTAGAAAGTTCCCCAACTTCACACGTTCCCCATTTGCCCAGGTCATTTCCCCAGATCGCCACTATCCCAGCCCCAGCCATCCCGTTACCATCGGCGAGCAGGGCGGTCTTGCGAGCGGCACGCAACCGCTCCAGCCAGCTGGTGCCAGCCATATTGCGGCTCCGCACGTTACCAAGGCAACGCCTCCCGGTCTTCCGGCCCTGACCCGGAAGAAAATGCCGCAAACTGGTCGCTCTTGTGTCACAGCTATACTCTCGGTAAGGGAACGTTGCCCTCTTCGGTATCGTTCTCCTCGGCCTCTCTTTGGACGTTCCGTAAGGGCTCCCCCTCTTTCTCCAACCAGAGAAGCATCGTAGGTGGATGGGTGGGTTAAGGTAGCGATGCAGGGCGGCGCGGCGCCCCTCAATCGCCTTGGAAAAGCAGCGGCGGGCAGCAGCGGGCTACAGAAGCGTCGCGGTGATTTGGTTGGCCCTGGCTGTTAAGGAGCCTTTGGCTCGACCTCATCCCACCTCTCAAATTCAGACACTCTTAAGCGGGTGGTCTCTGGACTGCAGTGAGCCGGGCTCGGATTAGAGTACCGCTCCGAAGTGATGCAAAAAAATTTCCTCTCTTGGTCTCTCTGCTCCCTCTAGGAAGGAGTCCCACAATCTGCGTTGATTTCAAGGGCTATAATCCTTGGCTGGCATATTTTGTAAACCAGAGTTTATGGGAAATGCATCTGAGTAACGCTAAATTGGGGAAGCCTGTCCTGGGTGTATGCATGAGAGATTTATTTGTAGACACTTTTATTTGAAATCAAATTAACCCAGTGCTGATACCTTTTACTTCAGCTCCTGATCAAATTGGTCATTAAACATAAAAGGTTGTGCCATTTGGTTTAAAACCTAACATAACACTTAAAAGTAACAATATTGATACTATTATTATTATTTTTAGCTGCTATACTTTTCATCTGCTGTTTTGTCACAGACTTTGATCACAGTTTCCTGGCTAGAGATTGCAGAATGCAAAAATACAAATTTGAATACAAATTCATATTCTCCAGTGAAGTATTTTCCAACTCTTTAACAGTTGTCTGTTCATTCAGCATGGCTGTTCATCATCCTTTTAATTAAAGAGGTTGAACATTGAATCTAGGATAGAAGAACCATAGCTTATAATGTTTGAGCACATGCTTTGTGTTCAGCAAATCTTAGGTTCAGTCTCTGTGGTCTTTACTAGGAAAATTTAGCCCAACAGTGTTGACACTACTGGACTAGTGTTCTGACTCATGTGAGTTCTGAATTCATAAAATACTTCCCACCCTAATGCTCATATTTATGGATCATAAATACCATATTAACCTTGTTCCCTCCTAATTTTAGGACTCCATTCTTCTAAAGTAAGGCCAGCCAGATATTTCAAGGAAAGTTACAATAAGAACTGTTTCATATATTATACTGTTCCTAAACAGGAAAACAATATACAGTTTATTACTTGTAATGTATATATGATGCACATTATAATATATATTACAGTACATTTAAGTATATTACAATTTTACTCTCAAGAAAAAAAAAATTCTATGTGATATCCTAAGGAGATCTTGTAAAATTCCATGCTTTTCTGTACCACCCATATGTAGATGACTGATTTTCTATCCCAGACCTATTCTCTCTCTGTTTCCAATTGTTTCCCCAAGTGCGTCTTTTCTAACCTTCAGTAAAATAACATTTCCAATAGCGCTAAAAGATATAAGCTGACAATGGCAAAGAGATATAAGGAAATAGTTATATATAGTTACCAGGTACAAAAATTATGAAATGCTAATTTTACCAATCTCCAAATGTATTAGATTAGGCAAGATGAAAAGGGTAATTTCTGTGACTGACTGAGTGGAAGATATACTAGAACTATTAATCTGTTCTAAAATGATGGAACATTGACACAAGGATTCCTATTAAGAATTACCTGTCATTAAAATATATTGTTATTTCTTTTACTTTTCCTTCCTACATCTTCAGCAAATCTGCATTCTCCTGTTAGGGAAGGAGACATCTATGGTCCATGGAACCTCAAGGAATTGTCAAAGCTTTCCGCAAACGAAAGAAGTTGAAAGATGAGGTACACACTGCGTCTTTAAAGATTTGGAAAGAAGAAACCAGGAATCAACAAGGTGAATTTTTTTCTTTCTGACTTTAGTCATGTGAAGTTCTCATAGTGTGGCTTGCATTGCTGTTAATTCTTATTAAACCACAATTTATGACAAATGGTTCATTTCAGAGAAATGACTTAATCTTTAAAAAGTTCAATCTCTACAATGCAGTGATATAATAACATGACTATATGTCATAAAACACTAACTTTCGCTATATTTCATCAAATGATCAGATTTTCTTCATTCTGAAAATATTTGTAACCTAATCTTATCTTGCTGATCATCTTTCTCTGTGGTATTTTTACCAGGGTGGTTGGAGCCAATCACAGCTTATGTGTTGCAAGCAGGAATTGGCCAGGCCAGGGCTGAGATCTTCTATAAGCAGATCATCCAAAATGGAGGACACATCTGCAGCCAGGTTTCCCCAGATGTGACACATGTAATAGTAGATGAAGACATGGATTTTGATCGGGCTTTTCGGCTTCTCAAACTCAAAAAGTTACCTCAGGGATTTCAACTAGTTAAGGCATCATGGCTGAGTTCTTGTATTACAGCACAGCAGATCTTGGACACTACTGACTATAGACTCATCATTCCAGAGAAGTAGGTCTCTCACTTAAATACTTTATCCAGTTTGAATGGGGAAGGTTTACGTAAAACTGATCATCCATCTTCAAAATGCAATAGAAAAAGAATTTCATTCGATATTTTTACTGTAACCGTCGGCCAGTCTGAAGTATCCTATTTTTTGATAAAGTGACTGAAAAAGTGATGGCTTTGATGATTTAGATGCTGATTTTCTGAAGTGATTTTACTGGATATTTCATCTGGGAAATGACACTGAATCTAGTTTGGTTACTGTAGTACCGTGATGGCAAACCTATGGCACACGTGCCGGAAGTGGCACTCAGAGCCACTTCTGCCGGCACGTGCGAGGTCACCCAGAAGAGCCCAACTGCGCATGCATGCACCCTGCCAACCAGCTGATTATTGGGTATCAGCCACGCATGCACGGGAGAGGCGCGCTTGTGGGAGGCGTGCATGCATGCGCAGTGGCATGTGGCGTGTGGGGGGGTTATGTGGGCATGCACAGAGGCGCACGGTACACGTGCAGGGGGAGTGGAAATCACGCGTGCATTGTATCATGCGTGCAGGCACGCATGTGTGCGTGCACACTTTTGGCACGCAACATGGAAAAGGTTAGCCATCACTGCTGTAGTAGATGAGCTAAGAAGGTAGTCCTCAATTTACAACAGTTCATTTAGTGACCTTTCAAAGTTAAATGGCACTGAAAAAAATGAGTTATATGACCATTTTTCACATTTACAACAGTTGCAGACTCCCCATGGTCATATGATAAAAATTCAGATGCCTGGCAACTGACTCATATTCATAATGGTTGCAGTATCCCAGGAGAAGGAAAGTCAATGGGGAAGCCAGATTCACTTAACAACTGCAATTATTTATTTAATAACTGGCAAGAAAGGTCGTAAAATGGGGGGGGGGGGAATCTCTTAATCAATGTGTCACTTAGCAACATAAATTTTGGGCTCAATTGTGGTTGTAGGTCGAGAACTGCCTGTATATTGGTGGAATGTAAACTGCTATTTCTCTTGGACCTCTTGATAGCTTCTGTAGCATTGATCATGGTATCCTTCAGATCAATGGGCTATATGGCAAAGTTGAGTCTTGGGAGCACTGTTTTGCAGTGATTCCAATTCTTCCTCTTAAAATTAGCCCAGAATATGATGTGGGGACATTGCTGTTCAAATGTAGATCATTCACATACAATGTTCCATGGATTCTGTCTTCTCCACTGTTGTTTCACAGTTTAACATCTACATGAAAGCAGTCAGGGAGTTTTAAAAAAAATATGCTGAAGTATAACTGGATATTTCAACAAGACAGCTGTCCAAAGCATGCTCTAAATCAGATATGTCTTTCTTATTAAGTACATATTTGATTTGTCTGTTGATTTGTTTGAAATGGGCTCCATATTCCACAACGATGAACATAATTGAATATGTGTAAGGAGTCTCAAAAATACACCATATGCAAGGAGATTAAGAATATTTCTGAACTAGAAGAAACTAGAACTAAAAGGAAGAATGGGAGAAAAATTCTCAAACAAGAATAAAACAGCTTACCTGCAGGAAAATATTTGGAAGCTGTAATTTTGGCCAAAGGAGATGATATAAAATATTGAAAGAAAGGACACTTAATTTTTTTCTTTGGCCATATTCACTGTTTGCTTATTTTGAATCTATAAGTAAGTGCGCATAAGTAAGCATTCACTTTTTCAGAAAAATATGTTCGACTTCTGTTACTTTATGAATTCATTGGAATTTTATAATTTGACAGGAATGCCTAATTTTTTCCACTGAATTATACCATGTATGGTTGCAATGATGAACAGTGTGACGTAGTTGAAAGGGAGGCCAATAATATGTATAGGAGGCCAAAGAATACAGCAGAAATCTTATAATTGCTTCTGTATAATTACAAATATCTAGCTGTGTGACTAATGGAATGTAAATACATATGGTCATCTTTTCATTCCAGTATGTGCCTCTTTAATGTAAACAGTAAACATTTGGAAACCAGGATAGATTATTCACTAAAGCAAGCTCTGAAAAAAAAATCACATCTTTTGGAAGAATATATCTTAAATGAATTTCCTAGCCTTTTTTTATATTGTTCTTCATCTGCCTTTAGTTGATACAAGAAATGCTCCAAATTCAATTATTTGTTGTTTCTTAATTCTTGGCAGATATCTGGATGAGACAGGCTTTTCAGCGGAACACTCGCCATTACTGAATGAGGATAAGATTCACCCCAAAGCAGAGAGCTCAGTTATGGAACCGAAAGAAGAATCAAACACTGAGATCAGCTCTTTCTGTGAAACTGTACAGGTAGTCTTTGACTTGCGACCAGTTGCATATTAATTGTTTGAAGTTACAACAGTTTTGGAAAGGGTGCTTTAAAGCAGGGGTCCCCAACCACCGGTCCGCGGACTGGTACTGGTCCGTGGAACAAGTCCTACCGGGCCGCTGGTTTGCTGGGCGCCGCCATCTTTTTTTGATGAAAAAGTGCTTCCGGTGAGCTTT